CTCAAAAAAAAAGACTAAATAAGGTGGTAATGTAAGACATTTACTGTATGTAATGTAAGACATTTACTGAAACAAGGTCACTCTGTTTCAGATGTACCAAGTGGCCATTTAGAAACATGTTAATACTAAGTGATTCTGTGATTTTCCATGAGTGGCAAGAAGAGAATGCTTTAAATTCTGAAAATACATCTGTAGGAGAAAGAAAAAAGGGGGAAAGAATCCATGACTGTGTTAAAATAAAAGGTGAGATGGCAAAAATAATTCAGCACAAATGCTGGAACTCTTAGTCATACCAGTTTTATACTGTAAAGAAACTGAGAAGTTAACTCCATACTCACAAAGTAAGAGATTTTTCAAGACCAAATCTCTATTTAGGCAAAGCTAGACACAAAAAACCTTGGCTTCAAAATAAGCCCAGAAATATTCTTCTCACCAAGAAGGTCTTATAGATCATTGATGTTTAAAAATATATATATATATTTTTTTTTTTTTGAGTTGGAGTCTCACTCTGTCACCCAGACTGGAGTGCAGTGGCCGCTTCCGGTCACCGCAGCCTCGACCTGCTGGGCTCCGGCGATCCTTCCGCCTCAGCCTTCCCAGTAGCCGGAATTACAGGCATGCGCTACCATGCCCGGCTGATTTTTTTGATTTATTGTAGAGATGAGGTCTTGCTGCCCAGGCGGGTCTCGAACCCGCGGGCTCAGGCAATCCACTCACCTCAGCCTCCCAAAGGCACGGGATTACAGGCTGAGCCACCGAGCCTGGCTAAAAATATTTTTAAGTAAAAACAATTCTTTTCTTAACTTCACTGAAATGTTTTAACAAAAAGATGACAAAACATAAAAATAACTTTAAATAAATATAGTAGAAAAATTACATTATTTCTATTGCTATTTAGTATGCTTGTTCTCGTCCAAATTCTTTTTATAAAAACTTTTTTTAAAGGAAAAGATTTAAAGTTATGAAAAATCAGCACTCTATCAGATGATTTTCTGAAACCTCTCAAGGTATCCTGTGCTTGATTTTGTTTTAAACCTGTTGCTCAATCGTTAATACCATTTGTTTTTAAATAGAAAAAATTAATGCCATTTACTTTAACCTAATAATAAACATATTCTTTATTAAGGAAATAGTTTTAAAAATCTAACTCTAACTTCCTTCTGATCCACAGAATGTAAGTCTCTTCTTTTGTAGCTAGAGTCAAGTCTATAAAGCTACTCCAAAATCACCAGGCCCATCCGAGGATTCTTTCACATACAGATCTTCCAGGCTTATGTCTCTGAGATATACAAAGACCAAATAATTGAAGGAAGTAATTAGTTTCTTTGTCTTTCTGAGTACTTTACTACTACTACTACTACTACTACTACTACTACTACTACTACTACTACTACTTCTTGCATTTTGTTTTGTTTGTTTATAGAGAAGGTGTCTCACTATGGTGTCCAGGCTGGTCTCAAACTCCTCAAGCGATCCTCCTTCCTCAGCCTTTAGTTGAGGAAGCACCAGGATTACAGGTGTGAGTCACCATGTCCCACTTAACTACCTATATAACTACTTATGGAGGATATAACAAACCTTTAGAAATAAAACTACAGAAAGTATGCTTATCTTCTTGCATTTCCTTTCTCTGACTACTTTCAACATGGGAGATTGTCTATATCTCACATTCAAATATTCAGGTTATCTAATTTTTCCCTCTGACTTTTGATCACCATTTAATACTTTCTTGAACTTAATTTTTTAATTTTTTTTAATTTTTTTTTTTTTTTTTTTTT